GATACAAGCTACGTGTAGAAAGAGAAAATTCACGCTCTTTAGAGATGCATCGGCGAGGGGTGTTGAGTAAAAGGAAACAGTCAAACCTGACCGCTGGGTCCTCACGAGTGGACCATGATAAGCAAAGAAAAGATTGGGAAAGATTTCATTGCACTTGCATCCACAATCAGTACTCGTGGAAGCAGCAGTCAAGAGATCAAATAACATATCATGTTGGGAAAATCTGCCGCACAAGACCTTTGTCAAGTACTGAACAACAATGGTTACTTTGAAGGCCAAGGTGTGTCTGCCCCAAGCCATTGTCTTTTCAATCACCTGAGCTGCATGTGAAAATTGGACAATGAATAAGGAAGACCATAGAAGGATTGGTACATTTGAATTATGATGTAGGTAAAGAATATTGAGAGTCCTATGGACTGTCAGAAGAATAAACAATCTGTCTACGAAGTACTATCAGAATGCTCCTCAGAAGCAGGATGGCAAGGCTTCGTCTCACACACCTGGGGCATGCCATCAGGAGGGAGCTGTCTTTGCAAAGGGATGGAATGCTTGGTAAAGTAGAGAATTAGGGGAAAAGAGAAAGACCTTCCTGAGATGGACTGACACAGTAGCTGCAACAATACGTTCAATCCTAACAATAATTGTGCGGATGGCCCCGGAATAGACAGTGCTTTCTCTGTTGACACAGATCATTGTGAGCTGCAACAGACTCCAAAATCAAAAACAGCGTCAACAACAATGTGCATTTGTACAGTCTACGAGAGAAACCGAGGAGAACTCCTGAATTTTGTGCCTTTGCCGGTGGTACCAGGAACACAGATCTAATGACAACTATAAACTGAGCATAATAATAGGAGCATTTTCAGCAAGATGGCAGAGTGGGCAGACACACTACACAGATGCTCTCCAAGAAAGACACAAGAAATGAAATAAAAGGAAGAAGAATGGTATTCCTGGAGCGCTGAGCTTCAGAGGAAACGACGGAGAGGTGTCGTGAATATCGCCTAGGAGAAGCATCTGAACAAAAGCACCGAGGGAAGTGACAAGGCATTGGGATTGTCAGCTGCCCTAACACAGAGAAGTGGTATTGAACTTGTGAAAGTAGCAGGGGGTGGGCATCGCCCCCGGATACTTGGATCTGACCACTCAGAACCACACAAGCACTCACACCAGTGGCTGGCAGCCAGAAAGGTGCAATCCTTCCCTAATACCTCCCACACTCCCAGTGACCTGAAGTGTGGACAGGCCCCATTTTTAGCCACCCCACTCATAAGCACTGCTCCAATGGAGGTCAGAGATGCACGTTCATGAACAGAGCACTGGGAGCACACCACCCTGATGTGTGGAGACACGTTCTCCGCCTCTGCCAGACAGCAGACTAGACGGGCTCTGTCCTCAGTAATGCTAGGTGGGCGGGCACACATTCTAGGACCAGGCATCTTTTTTTTTCTTTAATCGTTTTATTTGGGGCTCATACAACTCTTATCACAAGCCATACATATATCAATTGTGTAAAGCACATTTATACATTCATTACCCTCATCATTCTCAGAACATTTGCTCTCCACCTAAGCCCCTGGCATCAGCTCCTCATTTTTCCCTTCCCTCCCCACTGCCCCCTTCCTCTTGAACCCTTGATAATTTATAAATTATTATTTTGTCATATCTTGCACTGTCTGACTTCTTCCTTCACCCACTTTTCTGTTATCTGTCCCTTGTAATCGGTTCCCCCTTTCCAAACCACCTTCCCTCTACCCTCCCAGTATCGCCACTCACACC